CCAGTTCTTATCAGGGACGAGGCTGTGGGAACGTCGGAGGACGGCGGCTTCAGACTCACAGAGCAGAAAAAAAAGGGGGGAAAACTAAGAACCAGGGACAAACAGCCAGACGTGGAGACACATGTCCAAACGTCTAAATGTCCAAACTGTCTAAATGTCCAAACTGTCTAAATGTCCAAACTGTCTAAATGTCCAAACTGTCTAAATGTCCAAACTGTCTAAATGTCCAAACTGTCTAAATGTCCAAACTGTCTAAATGTCCAAACTGTCTAAATGTCCAAACTGTCTAAATGTCCAAACTGTCTAAATGTCCAAACTGTCTAAATGTCCAAACTGTCTAAATGTCCAAACTGTCTAAATGTCCAAACTGTCTAAATGTCCAAATGTCTAAATGTCCAAACTTCAAAATGTCTAAATGTCCAAACTGTCCAAATGTCCAAACTGTCTAAATGTCAAAACGTCCAAATGTCTAAATGTCCAAACGTCTAAATGCCCAAACTGTCCAAATGTCCCAAATGTCCAAATGTCTAAATGTCCAAACTTCAAAATGTCTAAATGTCCAAACTGTCCAAATGTCCACATGTTAAAACGTCCAAATATCCAAACTGTCCAAACGTCTAAATATCAAAACGTCCAAACTGTCCAAATGTCTAAATGTCCAAACTGTCTAAATGTCCAAACTGTCTAAATGTCCAAACTTCAAAACGTCAAAATGTCTAAATGTCCAAACTGTCCAAATGTCTAAATGTCCAAACGGTCTAAATGTCCAAACTGTCTAAATGTCCAAATTGTCCAAACTGTCTAAATGTCCAAACTGTCTAAATGTCCAAATTGTCCAAACTGTCTAAATGTCCAAATTGTCCAAACTGTCTAAATGTCCAAATTGTCCAAACTGTCTAAATGTCCAAATTGTCCAAACTGTCTAAATGTCCAAATTGTCCAAACTGTCTAAATGTCCAAAAAATGTCCAAACGTCTAAATGTCCAAACTGTCCAAATGTCTAAATGTCAAAACGTCCAAATGTCCAAACGTCTAAATGTCCAAATGTCCAAACATCCAAACGTCCAAACGTCTAAATGTCCGAACGCCTAAATGTCCAAACGTCCAAACGTCGTCATTGTCGTCGTCAGTCGTCGTCATCATCGTCGTCGTCTCCTGAGACAACGTCGTTCCTCCATTTCTCTCCTGGTCTGTTCCTGGTCCTGGTCTCTCATTTCTCTCTCTCTCTCTTGTGTCCACCTCTTGGTCCTGGTCTGTTGTGACCCACAGCCGTTGGTGTCTGTGATCCAGATCCATCTGGACAGACGTAAACACAGAGGTCACATCAGGGTCAGTGGTTCAGGGACCATGACGTCTCCGTCTCCTGGGTGTCCACAGTTACCTCAGACATTTACCTCGTGGCATTTAGTCGTCCCCCGGCCGCGGGGCAAAAAGGACCGCGTCTCTGTGACGGTGTCAAAGGTCACTGCGGCAGGTCAAAGGTCGTCGGTGAGCAGCCTCTCTGGAGACAACAGGAACCACAGACTCTGAAAGACACTGACACTGAAGGACCTGGTCTGTCCCTCGTCTATCCTCCATCTGTCCTCCATCTGTCCCTTGTCTGTCCTCCGTCTGTCCCTGCTCTGTCCTCCGTCTGTCCCTGGTCTGTCCTCCGTCTGTCCCCCCTTTGTGTCTGGTCTGTCCCTGGTCTGTCCGCCGTCTGTCCCTGGTCTGTCCCTCGTCTATCCTCCATCTGTCCTCCATCTGTCCCTTGTCTGTCCTCCGTCTGTCCCTGCTCTGTCCTCCGTCTGTCCCTGGTCTGTCCTCCGTCTGTCCCCCCTTTGTGTCTGGTCTGTCCCTGGTCTGTCCGCCGTCTGTCCCTGGTCTGTCCCTCGTCTATCCTCCATCTGTCCTCCATCTGTCCCTTGTCTGTCCTCCGTCTGTCCCTGCTCTGTCCTCCGTCTGTCCCTGGTCTGTCCTCCGTCTGTCCCCCCTTTGTGTCTGGTCTGTCCCTGGTCTGTCCGCCGTCTGTCCCTGGTCTGTCCCTCGTCTATCCTCCATCTGTCCTCCATCTGTCCCTTGTCTGTCCTCCGTCTGTCCCTGCTCTGTCCTCCGTCTGTCCTCCATCTGTCCCTGGTCTGTCCTCCATCTGTCCCCCGTCTGTCCTCTGTCTATCCCTCATCTATCTCCTGTCTGTCCCTGGTCTGTCCTCCGTCTGTCCTCCGTCTGTCCCTGGTCTATCCACCGTCTGTCCCTGGTCTGTCCTCCATCTGTCCCCCGTCTGTCCTCCGTCCTTCCCCTGTCTGTCCCCCGTCTTTCCCCCGGTTTTCCCCCCCT